TTTCTTGAGAACCAGGATTTACATTTTTATGTGCTAGTTTCTGAACTAGGTGCTGAAATACATCAAATAAGACATAGGCCTCTCTCCATGTAATCACAATTTTGTGGGAGAAGTGGACGATAACACATAATTTAAATTGTGCTGAACGTTATGAAAGAAAACCAGAGATGTTATGGGAGCAGAAACCAGGAACTTGTAACTTAGACTGAGGGTTACGAGTGCATCAGAGAGATTACTTGCAGAAGTGATATTTAAGCTGAAACTCAAGGGATAAGTATTAATTATCTAGACAAAGAACTGGAGGGAGGAAAATTTCAGTAAAAAAATGCACAGTATGTGCAGAGAGCTCTAGGCAGGGAGGTATCCAGTGTGTTAAAGAAACTAAGAGGAGTCTTGTGTAGTTAGAGGAGAGAGGATAAGGGGACACAAAAAGACTGAAAAGATAGGAAAGGGCTAGGCTTGTAAGCCTTCTTTTTTTTTTTAGCTGAGCCATCCTACCACCTGTTGGCAGCTCAGCGGCAGCTTAGTGGCAGCTCAACTTGGGCCAGGAATCGAACTGGCAACCCTGTCGCTCAGAGCTTGCACTCTGGAGCTAGCTCTTTTTTTTTTTTTTTTTTTTAAATTTTTTTTTTTTTTGGGGGATTGGGGGATAACAGCGCTGGGGAATTGGGAGGAAGGGGAACAGACAAGTTGCTGTCGTTTTGTTCTTCAGTCTAGTTGTGGAGGACATTGCTTCACTGGCCCAAGTTGGCACCATCATTGCGCTCTTCTCTGGCGAGGCAGATCAGTCGCCGGCTTCTGGACGGCCGCTCACTGCGGCTGCTGGCCGCTCACGCTGGCTGCTGGCCGCTCACGCTGGCTGCTGGCCACACACGGTAGCCCATGGCAATCCACTGCCACAGGGACTGCAGCCCACGCCGTCGCCGGCGACTCAGGGCAGCCCAGCTCCAGGTTGAGCTGTTGTTCAGCATCTTAGCTGTGGAGGGCAGTGTCACTGGCCCTCACATGTGGGATCCGAACCGGGGCCCTCTGGCATCCCAAGCGAGTTCTTAACCATCGCGCCACTCGGCCGGCCCTGGAGCTAGCTCTTAATCAACTGAGCCACTTGGCCGGCCCCTGTACACCTTCTTAAAGGAATCCAGACTTTATCTCAAGAACAATGTGATGCCTTTGAGGAGCTTTAAGCAGGGGAGTGATCACTAAGGTAGAACATGAGCAGTGTCTGACATAAGCTTCAAAATGCCATGGAGGTCCCAAGGATGGAGAAATCCATTGCCTAGAGCATCAAGGAGGCTTTCACGAAGGAGGTACAGTTGCACAGCAGAACCACTGAGACACAGGAAGACGTGTGTGTGTGTGTGTGTGTGTGTGTGTGTGTGTGTGTTGGGAGGCAGAAAAGAAAGTGTCCAGATATAGGCAGCAGCCTGCACTCAGTTACAAAGCTAGATAAGTGTGGGACACATTTGGAGAATGGCGAACTGTCCAGTTTGGCTGGAGTATTATGGGAGATAAACCTGGGAGGGTAGGTTGTGGATATGAAGAGCCCGGAAGGTACATATGGATACATATATGTACAGCTGATCCTCATAATGTGCTTGCAAATTCACTTACTTGCTAACACTTATTAGTAACCCTCAAGTCAATACACACAGTGCTTTTTCAGTCACTCACAGACATGTGCAGAGCGGTGAAAATTTTGAGTCACCTGGCATGCACATTCCCAGCGGAGGTAAAACAAGGCATCCCTCTGCCTTCTTGTTTCAGCTGTCATGCTGTCAACAGGTGTCTTTTTCGTGGTTTATTTAGTAGTACTGTTTTGCATTTTTCGGTGTTTTTTGTAGGTGATTTCACTGTTTAAAATAGCCCGAAAACACAATGCTGAAGTGCTACCTAGTATTTTTAAGCACAAGAAGGCTGTGATGTGCCTTATGGAGAACATACATGTGTTAGATAACATTTACTCAGGGATGAGTTGTAACGCTTTTCATCATTAGTGCAATGTTAATGAGTCCACAGTTTACCGGGGGTGTCAAAAAAATGTATACACATGACTTGTATTCATCTTTTGTTCATGGTATATATTGAGTATTACAATTTTAATACAGTTCTTTCTTCAAATGTGTATAATGTATACATTTTTTGGCACCCTGTGCATATTAAAAATATAATGTGTGTGCATATATATATATATATGTATATTCTTTAAACAAAAACATAAAACAAGGTTATCTATTGATCAGTTGATGAAAAAGTGCCCAGAGGCTTATAGGAACCTAACTCTGCATCTCCCCCGGGAACTATCGTTCAATATTAGCTATTTTAGTGTTTGCAAGCCACTTTATAGAACTATTGTGAGTAATGAGAATTGACTTGTATCTATGCACACATTTCCTCCTGATCCCACCCTGAGAGCTTGTTGTTAAACATTATACCTACACATCATTGACTGAAGAAGACCCTGCAGGAGCTCAGCACTATGGGGGTGTCAGTTAACCACACTGCTTATAGCTCGGAAGTCCTTTCGTGAAGCAGGACCTGAGTGACACATCTCCATGTTGGCTGCAATTTTCAGGCCCTCAGTTAGAGAGTAACTAGTCTTTGGAGTAACCAAGACCCAAGTTTGAATCCCACCTCCCCCATTTACTAGTTGTCAGTCCTTAGGCAAGCGATACTGTACCTCATTATCCTTAGTAGGAGAATAGCCAGTCCACAGTTTCACTGTGAGTCCCCATGAGATCATGTATGTGAAATGCTCGGCTCCTTGCCTGGCACATATATGGTAGATGGTGAATACTTGTTGATTCTCCTATACCCCACCCCACACTCCAGCAAATGGTGGGGAAAAGGAGGCACTCCATTCTCGGCCTGTGGCTCCGTCCTCTGATAATGGAGCTTCAGGCTACTGCAGCATTGTGCCCAGTCATTCTAAATCAGCTTTTCAGACTCTGTAAGTCTCAGGCTGGTCCTGCAGTGGACATGCCCAAACCTGAGAATCTAGAAGACCTGTTGCCTGCAGTGTCCTCTATTCCCATGACTACACAAATGGTCTACTTTCCAGTATAATTCTTGCTGCTTTCTTATCATGACAGGAAAAATAGGCAATGCTCTAGCTGGTGTCTCTGTGTCTGTGACTTCTGGGGGTTTTTTGTCGGGGAGCGGGGTGGGGGACTGGGAGTGGATATGTTTGCCTAGGCTGTTCTCCCTGTTTCATGATTCCCTACTCTGGGATTCAGACGCCTGGGCTGCCCCAGTTCCTGCCTTGCTGCCTCTGACTCAGATTTACCCTCAAGACACAGCTCCATCTCTGAGTCATCAGGCTGAGCTTTCTAGGACAGCAGTCTGGCTCTCAGCTCCATCTTCCCAGGAAAGGTGCTGTCTCCACACCCCAGTGCCACTCCATGCCTAACTTGGCTCACAACACCCAGAAAGCAAGAATCCAAGTCTTAATGCCAACAGAGGATGTGGAGGGAAAGGCTGCATCCAGGACCAGGAGTCGGAATACCTGGATTTTGGTTCCAGCTCTGCTTAGCTTGTGTGACCTTGGATGAGTCATAGAACTCTCCTGAATTGGGGTTTTCTCTTCCAGAAAATGGAACTAGTCATCCATGCCAGGTCCATCCCTCCCAAATGAAACAGTGTAAAGTACCCAAATCTCTCGGGCACAAGTCCCTGCTCCCTGGACTGGATCTGTTCATAAACTCATTTCATTTTACTTGAATAACATTGACCTAAATAGCAAGTATTTAGCATTTTTAAGTGAGTTACCAACAAACTGGGAGATTTCACTTAAATATTTGGATTTACAGGTTCTATTGAAAAAAATAGGATGATCTAGCCATATTAATACCTTACCCTGAATGGCAAAAATTGACTAGATTTGAGTAGCAGCTGCCCCTTCACTTGGGCAGGAGCCTGGAGCTGCCCTCAAGTTCATCACAGTCCCCACCACTCCCTATTGTGTCCCAATACTGGGGCCAAGCCTCCGTTGCCATTTATTATTGTTCTGGGGCTATTGATTTGCTCCTGGAGGAGCCCTAGTGGGAGGGAAATCATTGTAATAGCCATGTTTCCATCAAAATGGGAAAAGGAAAGTCCTAGAAATGCCTCTTGCCCCAAATTATCTCCCCCTAGAGGGTGTCAATGTCAGAAAATGAAACCCCTTTGGTTGATTTACCCCGTGCCAACGGGCCTTTTGAAGGATGTGTATGGTGGGTCAGAGCTGGGATGTGGAGTCCCACAGGCTCCGCTGCATTCGACCGTGTCCTCATCTGTAAGACGGAAGTAGTCCCAGGTCTTTCCTCCTAGGTGTATTGTGCACGTCCGGCACTTAGTGAGCTGGTCATTCAAGGTCAGTGATGGCCGTGCAAATCTTTTGAACTGATAAAAAGCCTTGGGGGAGGTGGGAGTGTGAAGCGAAGGATTTAGGATTCCCGTGTAGGGCTATGGCCAGGACTGGGAAGGAAAAAAGCAAATGGAAAAACACATAACTTAGGAGAGAGAAAAGCTCTTGTACATCCACCCCCACTCTTCCACCTCCTTAATGAGACAAATCCCGCTGGCGAAGTAGATCCCTCCACTGCACTTGGTTTCCGTTACCAAGGCCGGTTCTAGTCCCCGCTCCGACAATCATTACCTTGTGTGATGGCGTCTCCCTGTCACACAAGGTGAGGATAGAAATGCCCCACTAACTAACTGTTGTGGGCAAAGATGAGCTGAGATGAGTGTACGTGAAAGCACTTTGGAATCTGAAAGGCGCTATACACCGATTAGGAGTTTTTGGGTCTCGTTTCAAAAAGTTTTTCTTCCAAAGTCTGTCCAAGGGCCTTTTGAATTTATCAAAGCTAAGACCCTCCCCTCGATTTCGCCATGCTGCCCCTTCTTACACACCGAAGCCCGCGCCGCGTCAGGCGTCTTTTTTTTTTTTTTCCCCCCCTGGCGAAGGCGGGGACTTGGGTGGTGTTGGCAGCCGGCAACGCCGGGCGCAGCTTGGGCTGGCGGCGGCGCTTAGCCAGTCCCGCAGCGGCCGCGGTGGGTGTGCCCCGCAGGGCGTGCGCCCCAAGCCCAGGCCGATCCTGTTGGCGAGAGTGCGCCCGAGGTTGTGCGCGCCCCGGATGCCGACTGTGCGCCAGCCCGGGTGTGCGCGCCCGGGACGGGGATTGTGCACCCGGAGGCTGCGTGTTCCCCGAAGCCGGGCTGTGCTCCGGCCCCTACAACGGCCAGCCGTCTCCCGCCTGACTCCCGCTGCTCGCCAAGGTAAGGTGCCCTCGGACTGCAGCCCGCGCACTGCGTTGATGGGGCGTGCCAGCACTCAGCCCTGCACGACCCGGGTCTTGGCCGGAGCGGTCGGCCACGCTCCTCTGTCTGGTTCTCTCCTAGCGCCGCGTCCCCTGCCCCCTTAAGGCCGAGGCTGCTGCAGCCTGGGACGACCTGGCGCCTCCGCCTGGGGTCCAAGACACCGCGGGGAGGGGGGCTACCTAAGGGCAGGCGCCGCTCCCCTTCTGCCCGGACCGGCTCCCAGCGCCCCAATGCTGGGTAGAGAGACCAGTGTGTATGTGCGCGTGTGTGTATTTGGGGGGGGGTGTCCTTGTCGCTCGGGTTGTGCAGCCCCTGCCCAGCGCTTCCGAGCGGGGCGCTGCGGTCTGGGATGCAGCTTGAGGGACTGAGGCGCCCTGCCGCGGGCTCCCAGGACTACCTGAGATTGAGCTCCTAGTCTCCCTTCTTCCGCAAAAGCCGGCCCCCATTTCCTACCCTGGTAACCCTCGGCCTCTGGCTGAACTTTCCAGCAGTCCCACTGAGCTATGACTTTGGGTGGAGGCAGTCGGGGCCCCTTGCGGGGTCGTGGGGTGCGCGGGCAGCCAAGGGCGCTTTGGGCGCCTGTGAGCCACTTGAGATTCCCTCCCTCGCATCTCTCCCTAAGGTCAAACATTTGACCCCAAGTACTTTGCCCTTGCGGAGTGGCCAGTTACTTAGCGTGGGAGTTGGAAAGCGGAGCACCACGGCCCCTACACCAGGTCTGAATCTGCGCTTGCCCTGGGGCATCAGCTACGGCTGCAGGAACCCTCTGTTTTAGTTCCCAGGCGCCATTGGATACTGGCCTGGAGGGAGAGGAGGAGATCCCCCTCCTTTCCAAGGATGACCTCCTGAAGCCTGGGCAAAGTTCTTTTGACCAAGTAGGATCAGGGGAGGGTCAGATGCAGTTAGTGACCAGGTTGAGGCTTGGGTAGAAAGCATCTTGAATTAATTACAGTTCCCAACGACCTGCCTGGGTGAACCGAATGTGGGTTCCTTAGAGACTTTCAAGACATGACACAAGAGAATACAGAGCTACACTTGGAATAGAAGCAGAGTCCACTCTGATATTACCTTTTCGAGTCCAGCCCTCCTGCCCTTATCCAAAACTCCTTTTCTCTGGACCATAATGTGAGTTATGGGGAATATTAAAGGACAATGAAAACGGGGCATGGTTCAGGGTTCACAGCGGACTTTCATTCAGTCCACAAATACTTGCTCTGTGCCAAGCACGGGCAAGGTGGTGTGATACAGACATGAACAACACTGGTAGTGTCTGGCCTCATGGAGCTTGCAGTCCAGTGGTCAAGACCGATAAGAATCAAATCACTCAAATAAATATAGATTTATGAGCAGTCCTGAATTCTTTGAAAGGAAAGGATAAGGTGCTATGAGACTCTGTGATAGGTACAGTAGTCGCTTAGTTATAATATTGATACGAGTTAACTGGTTGAAGAGGGTGGAAAGAGCCTTTTAGGCAGAAGGAGTATGGAGAGGGCCCCAAGTTGAGTAGCAGAGTCCATTAGAGAGACTGAAAGCCTGTTTACAAGTGACTAACAGGGGTCCAACCAAATGCGTTTGCCCCTTCTGCATCTCATCGCCTGGGCCAATCAGTACCTCCCTCTATCACCATAATAATAGGCAGTGAGAGTCTCCAGGGCTAGGAGAGAAAGAAGGTGAGACTGACAGGCAGGTGCTGGACTCATCCCCCAGGCATGTACTCACTACCAGCACCTTGGTCAGATAGTCCATGCCCACTCAGGGTGCCAAGAAGCAGCAGTTCTTTCCTCCAGTTGTTCCTTATTATTGTCTGCTCACAACTGACCAAGGCTTCTGCCCAACATTTAGGAAGGTTCATGCTGGGACTAGTGGCTCATCTTGGATTTTTGAAACTAGAATGAACTCGCTGCCTGCAATGTAAAATTCCTTACATGGCATTTCCTAATGTGGGCTCTGCCTGCCTTTCCAGCCTCATTTCTACCACTTCCTCCAGTTCCTCCCTCCTCAATGAGCACCATCTATGTTCTACGCACAATTGCACTCCAAGCAGTCCTGAAACACACATTGCCTTTGGACATGCTGCCTTCTATCTAATATACTCTTCCTACCTGTTCATCCAGTCAATGCACACTCAGCTTTCAACGTCCACGTTAAACTTCAGGTTTCCCTATCCTACTCCCACCCCGGCCAAGGCCTTTCCTGACCAGAGTCAAATGCTCCTCCTCGTTGTTTCCAAAACTTCCTGGACAAGCTTCTGTCAGTGAATGTCAATTGCACTGTGCCTCTTCAAAGCAGGACTCTGCAGTCATATTTGTGTCCCAAGTACTTATCACAGAGAAGAACACATAGAAGGGGTTTGAAAAATGCTTGTTGGATGAAAACAAGTTAGTATTTCTGAACTTTTTTATGGGGTGGGGCAGGGTTAGATAGATCTTTAAGATTTTGTTGAAAATTGTGGATACTCTTCTCCAAATATATATAACCTAAAAGATCTTGCATCCAATGTCACATGATTCACAGCCCTTCCCTCCCCCATTGACCCCATTTCCTGAACTTTGGACTTTAATTTTACAGGAAACAGAGGCCCAATGAGGTACAATGACTGTCTAAGCATCTGCAGCTGGTTAACGGCATAGACACCCCCACCCCTGCTACACACACACACACACACACACACACACACACACACACACACACACGCACACACGCACACACCGCCCCCAGCTCCTGACTCGCAATCCCAGGCTTCTTCCAGCTCCCTCTGCTTCTCTTAGCCGTGTAGCCTCCTTTTGTCCCTGGCACTTTGTGAAGGCCCCTGCTTATGGCTGGAAGATGGATATCTTGGTTTTGCTTCAGTTCAGTAGCAGCCTAAGGTGTGACAGGGAGAAAAATCTTATTATGGGCAGAGTTGACAATTAGGAAGACAGATGGGCCATCTCCCTGGCCATTCCCTGCCCTTTGCCTGTAATGTTATTACACCTGTTTTAGCTGGAGGAGGGTCACGTGTGCTTCAAATTATCTTCTGTGCCCTGGAGTGAGCCACGTGGCCCAGGTTTGGAAATCCTCCGGGTGGGACCATTGCGATCAGGGGCCCAGCTCATGGTAATTTCAAAGGCTTCTTTCCCATAGAGCAGGCTACGGGCAATGAATAGAGAGAACAGGGTTCTTGCTTGTTGCCACTGGAGATCTTTTCTTGCCTGCCTGCCTGCCTCCTGCTTTCTGCAACAAGACACCTACTTCAGGCTGCTGGGCCAAGCAGTACCTTCTTACCTGCAGATCAAGATCTTCATTAATTTAGTAATTTACTCTTTCTCAAAACTGCATTGAATCTCTACTCTGTACCAGGTACTGAGCTGATCCCAGTTTATAAGAAAGGGTCACGGAGCATGAGCCAGTGATACACGCTCCGCTCTGCGGGGAGAGGGTTGAATTACTTCTGATTCAACCCATACCTTGGGAGATGTGGTAGGGAGGACAGTTAGGGCTTTTTAATGCTGAGAATGTGCTCATTTTTGAAACTCTGATCTCGTGAAGGTTATGTCATTTCAGGGACTAAATTTTCTTAACTGTAAGATGGGTTTGATAATGATCATTTTTTGCCTATCTCTGGGCAGTTGTGCGGATACAGTTGTCATGTTTCAGATGGTAGATCCACTCATTTCTGTGACACAGGAGCAGTACAATACAATAATAGGGTACACATGTGTCAAGCCGGTACATTTAATCCTTACAGTAATCCTAGAGATAGTTACCATGTATAGATGTGGAAAATGAGGTTAAGGGACTTGCCTAGGGTTATAGAACTAATAAATGATAAAAATTGGGACTTCCTGGGCTCTCTGTCCCTGGAGATCAGATGGCTACCCACTTTGTGCTGCTCTGCAGTAGAAGAGGTGGGCTTGGAGGCTAGGGTGTCCAGGAACTGGAGCCTAGGTCTGCTGCTACCTACCTAACTGTATGATTTACAGCTAGACACTTAACCTCTCTGTGCCTCAGAATGCTAATCTCCCAGACCCAGAATTTGGACTAAGAGGCTTCTAATAGAATCTTTCTCTGTGAACAGTTTCCAGTTTATGTGGATAATATTTCAAAGTAGGATTAAAGGGAAGAAGAGGGGCCCCCTGGCTAAAAATAGGCCTGTCGCAGTTTTCAGGATAAAATAAATGCTGCCCCAAGATTTCAAATAGATGGTTAATGTGATATGTAGGCAGTTATAGATTGGCGGTGTCTGAAGAAGCTGGCTGACCGTTCCTTCTCCAAGGGAAAGAAGTCTGTTTTCAAAAGAACGCCTCACTGTCTCGCTGGAGCCCTGGGGCCTGGACCTTGCCCCTCAAATAGCTTTTCGGGGACACAGGCATTGTGAGAGAAAACACAAATCCCAATTCCCGTCACCCTTCCACTTCTCCCCCGCCCCCAAAAGTAAATAAAACTTACTGGCTATATATATACATATTTTTTAATGTGGTTGTGGCTTTGTCCCCTTTGTGTGGAAGCTCTCTTTGTGCTGCAGTTTCCTTCGGTATGTCCAATGTGTGGCTTTGATGTCCAGGGACAGGGGGCACAGAAATGTGGCATTGGGGAGAATGTGCTCCAAGCAAAGATAAAAGAGCAGAACTGGGTGCCGATTTCCCTCCACAGCCTCGTTTCTACCCAGAAGCCAGAGATGCCGACTTGCAGTAAAATCGATGTTGATTTTCATAGCAGGGCACCAGGCAGCAGGGCTGAGTGTTTCCAGGTGCCGTGCTCATGGGCTGTTGCCCACCACTCCCCACTCCCTTCCGCCTTGGAAAATGTCGCTATCCTACGCCTTGGGGAAGGGTTTGAAAGACCAGACATATCAAATTGTGTGGTGGCTGAATATAACCTCGAATGGTCACATTTATTAGGTCCTGTACTGAGTGTGTGGGAGGGGGTCATTTTATCAGTAATGTCTGAGTTTTTTTTAAGAGGTGGTTTTTATGTAT